ACAGCCGTTTCTCAAAGCCCTACTGCCTATTCACACTACTATGGCATCACTGTCTTCTAATACTCCCCAGTTAGCTGTAGCTATCTGCAGTCATTTGCTTTATATTTGGATTTTCAAGCTTTTATGTGGCTGTGTGTTTCTTCTTTTTACTCTTGTGTTCTTGCAATGCCCAGTAAAAAGAGTGTTCATCCGGGACCCCACCAGTGGTGCTCAACCTTTTTAGACTTGAGGCATTCCTCAATAAATGAGGCACCACTCGGAGAATACCAGCTTCTAGTTTTCACTTGTTCTTTGACTACAGAAGAGAAATTCCTCTCTTACAAAAGTCTTAGAAGGACCACAATAGGCCAGAATTTAACAATGTAGCTTCTTCCTATTTGAAATCTCTAGGTTTATCTTCTGAATCATGTTTGCATACCTAACAGTACTAACTGTATGACACTGCACGGCACTGTTGAAAGGATCTCAAGGCTCCCCAGAGTCTTGCAACATCCTAGTTGAGAATCACCAAACTAAGCTAAGGTATACCAGCTTTCATAGATGACAAAATACAAGAGAACAAACGTGGCTCGCATTCATGTCTGGCTGTCTACAATTCCACATAGAACAACTGACCAAGTTCTCACTTAAAGACTGACAGATTGGGAAAAAACCTCTGGACAAGTCTGAAGTGTGGCTCAAACTCTGGTGCCATAGCAAAATACTGCTACCATGTACATTAGGATTTCAGCATTCTTTAAGTAACAGTTAGTATGAAATGTTTTTAAAAGTTAGTATATACAAATTACCTTACAAACAATATAAAAAGATAAAGGCAAAGGGATGTATACAGTAAAAGCTCTGTTATCCGGCATCCCCCATTCCTGGGGGATGCCAGATAACAAAATATGCCGGTTAATGAGTGGCTCGGGCCGCCGCTTCTCCCACCATGTTTTGGGTGTCCCACCACCTCTCCCGCGGGCCCTGTGGGACAGGGAGGCGGGCCCCACAGCTTGTTATACCCCCCGGGCCGTGGGGGCTCGGCAGCACAGGCTGCTTTGCCCCTGGCCACAGAGGGCACTTCCAGTTTCACTTTATCTTACAAGCCAGCGTGCCGGTTAATTGAGCATACCAGCTTGTAAAATGCCGGTTAACAGAACTTTTATTGTATAACGCGAGTACCAAAAGATAAAACAATTGATTATTTTTAAAAGTTTGGTTAGGCTCACAAAGTAAGTTACTTTCTTAATTTCCTGGAGCTGACTTTAAATTTCTACAGTCATCTCACTACAGTAATCTCTACAAGTATAACTGAGAACAAGAGTCAGAAACTGACTGAAGAGCAGGGAGCGCTTTTACTTGCATATGATTTCAAAAAATGTATTACTGAAGATGCTGGCTAGATACAGAGTAGAAAGCTGTTTAACACCTGGAAAAAGTAAAAATTCAGTTCTCTCAGTGGTAATACTGTTTTGGCTTAACTTGAAGGACTTTTTATGGAAGTATTCTGATCTATGGAGACCCTACACTGTGCTGTTCTTATACTTCATCACTTAAGCGTACAAGAGCATTCCAGTAGTGCATTAAGCAATGTGTCTATAACACCTGTCATTTATAGAAAATGGATGCAGAAGGTCAACACCTACTTTTAAATCACTCTAAGTGTATAATTTTATAAGATCACTTTACTCAGTATAGTCTCAAAATAGACTTAAAATAGATTCTGCAGCTGCAAAACTGAATAAATAGAAAATTCAATTAGTTGCTAGGTGAGACTTGCCTAGAAGTATAGTGATATTTTTATAGCAATCTGGTCAAGAAAAATTAGTCTTTTTATCAAGTATTCCCAAACAGAATGTATAATTAATTGTAAATGTATGTTTTGCAGTTTTAATGATATTTGAATTTAATTAGAATTATTTTGTGTATAATTTTTTGTTGGTGCCTATCGTTATAATATTAAAGTACTTTACATATTACTGTATTTACTCAAATAGATGACCCTGATAATATGATGACCCCCCAAAATAGATTATATATATAGAAAATGTATAAATATTATACCTTTCCTTGTATAGAATTTAATTAATGTAGGTTTACCTTGAATTCAAACCCTCCTATTGCTACAGCAGAGAAAAGAAGTCTGGGGCATCAGGTAGCCCCTTGGCTCTCTGCTTCCCCCTCTCCTTACTGTCAGACCCTGTTCTCTGTAAGTGAGGAGCAAATCTGAAAAGAACCTTGAAATTAAACATTCCTGTAGCAATTTGCATATAGTACCCATGCACTTAGTCCATCCAGAATTGATGCATGTTACCTTATTTTTTTAAACTACTGCAAATTTTAGTACAGGTACTCCATAAACATACTTCTGGGCAGCACTTTTATACCAACTTTTATGTATGTACGAACTATGCATAATATTAGTCCAAAGCCAAAAGGATCATAATTTGCCATATAGTTCACTGGGCTGGGCACCACCAGTCAACAGCATTTCACGCCTTGGTGATCCCACAGCTCAGCACTGTTCAGTGTGTGTTAGAGGTGCACTGATACACTGGTCCGATATTGGATTGGCACCGATATAAAGAAAATTGATCGTATCAGAAATCGGCCTGATGTGGCCAATAATTTGGCTGATAAATACCTATGCATGTGTGCAACTGCAGCACAGCACATAGGCAGCGAGGAGCACAGCCGGCAACTTGGAGAGCTACGTCCAGCTGGTAAGCCTGTTTTGGTGGAAGGGGAGGGGGGACGGAAGCGGGGGGCAAATCAAGACCCCCACAGTGAGGGAGAAGTGGGGCTGGGGCAGGGGCAAGCACTGCTCAGTCAGGGTGCGGCAGATGCAGGACATAGCTGCAGCTCGTCCAGGGGGCGTGGGGAGGTGGCTCCTGCCATTCCACACCACTCATCCGGGAGGGCAGCACAGGCAGGGAAGAGCCCCAAGCAGCCCCAGCCTCAGCCCACTCTGCCTTGCCCAGAACTGGGGGCACACCCGCTCCCCTCCATGCCCTCCTGGGCAACCAGTGGGAGCAGTGGCAGGAGCTGCCGGACAAACAGGCAAGTGCCGGACCAGTGGCTCCCAGACAAGCTGTGTGCAGTAACAGAAGCCGTGCCCCCCGTTCTTCCCCACACCCTCTGGGTGAGTCGCGGCTCTGTACTTTGCCCTCCCCACCCCAGCTGGGCAGTGCTTCCCCAACCCCACTCCTCCCTCAACGCGCGGGGCTTGATCTGCACCCCCATGCCCCTTCCCTCCCCCAACCACACTTACCAGCTGCACGCAGCTCTCCAAGCTGCCTGGCTCGTATCGGAATTCAGATCGGTATCGACCAATATGACTCCTTAAAAAATCGGCTATTGGTATCAGCTACTGGTACCCAAAAATCTTTATCAGTGCATCCCTAGTATGTGTGTATATTCTAGATAGCCCTGACAAAGGATCCCTGTGCTAATTAGTCCTGACTCATGATTGGAACTGGCTGTTATTGACACAAGTCCTGGAATCGTCCAAAAATGTACATGCACATAAGGTGCGGGGTCTGGCTTCACTTCAGAGGGCAAGGCGGGGTGGAGGGGGGGGCAACAGAGGGATTCTGGGTGAACTCTTTGGGGCCCCATTTCGTGATGCTTGCCAGGCATTTAAAGGCTTAAGAAATGGGAGTAATTGGAAATGGGAAAGAAAGGTTCAGCTCAGTTGTGAGAGTGAAGAGGAAGTTAAAACGTATGCAATATAGTGGCTCACCATGACTTGAAAGTTGGCAGAGAAGGGGTTGAGCACAATGGGCACAACCACATGTCTTATTCAGATCGGCTGCATTAACCTATTGTGTTTTATAGTCATGCTCAGTGTTGGCTGCATTTCATCAACTTCATACTTGCTTTCCATTACTGAGTACAGTAATAGACAATGTATTTAGTGAGATCCCCTTGCATGCAAAAATAAGACAAGGGGCTTTTCTCTCCTGTGCCCACTAGGGGGAAAAACATGATCTTATATTCAAGTAAATATGGTATTCTTTTTTTAATCTCTCTGTGAGCAAGAAGAGTAAGTCCATTAAGTAACCAGCTCAGTATCAAGCAGGAAATCCAGAGTGCCAATGTAATGAACCTAATGCCCTTTTTGTGCCTTAACCACAAAGCTGTTCTTGCTACTACAATCTCCATGACTTTTAGATAAAACTTCAGGTATAATTTTTCCTCCCCAACCCATTTTCTTTCATATAAAAGGCCCCACTGCTTACCATAGACATGCAAAATATACAATCTCCAAGCTCACTATAAAAGAGGGCAATAAAATCATGCAGCACATTTCAAACATTGACCTGAATATCCCAACATCACCATTATATAAATTAGCACAATAAAAAGCCATTTAAAGAGATAAAGAGTAACTTCATAATCTAACTTAATTGCAACTACTTGTGCATGTCTCCAGGAAAATAAAGAAACCTGAAGTACTACAGTGAAGCACTGGAATGGGTTACCTAGAGAGGTGGTGGAATCTCCATCCTTGGTGGTTTTTAAGGCCTGGCTTGACAAAGCCCTGACTAGAACGATCTAGTTGGGGATGGTCCTACTTTGAGCAGGAGTTTGGACTAGATGACCTCATGAGGTTCTTTCCTACCCTAATTTTCTAAGATTCTATGGTTCTGTAGTATGGCTTATGTGACTGCTGTAATTTGGAGTATGGTTCATTGCTGCTTAACTTGGAACAAACCACGTCTTCCCTAAACAGACTGTAAATTTTACAGGATGCCTACCTCACTGAAACTAACAGGGATAGCAAATGGCTAATGCTATTGCTTGGCGGGCAGAAAAAAAAAATGATGCCCCATTACTTGTTTTAATTCCCTATTTTCCTCTCCTTTGGAATTTATTAGGGAAGCAACACACATTTATATCTGATTACCTGCATTAGAATTTTAGAATGTATACCAATGAGTTAAGTATTTGTTTGTTACCAACTTTGCTTCCTTAGAACCTATACGTTGCAACCAGCAAGTAAAATATAAGCTAAGTACCTGTTGAGTACAAAGTTAGAAGAAAAGAGCATAAAGAGACTCCATTCATTTCCTTGGCAAGCATAACCGAGCATAGCTATTTCCCAGGCCAATCTACCTAGCCCAGCACCAGGTACCAGGATATTAACTTTGGAGAAATCCCTGCAACAAAACAAAAATAATAGTTAAGTCTTTATCTGATATCTATTAACAGAATGTAGAGAGATCTGGTCATACATTTTCATATATGACATTAGAATATGCTACAGCGTATAATTTATTTCCTATAATATTTTAGGCTAAACAGACCAGCTGTGAACAGACCTTAAATCAAAACAGTCCACTATCCAGACATTTATGCTGAACAAACAGGTGAAATATCCATAGTTTAATACAAAGTTAAAAAAAACAATTATTTTTCAGCAGTTTAAAAGTTTAAACCATTTCAGTTAAAATGGGTTGCATTTATTCTTAAGGATGACAAAGAAAGGAGAGGGGAAAGATACTTTTGGCCCTTATTTGCTTCTCTAGATGTATGCAGATAACCTGTCAAGTTTTCAAATGTTAGGAATTTAAGTTCTCTGTACCCAGTCAGTCCCCTAAATAAGGAAGTGGGGGGAGGACAACTGCAGAACTAGTAGATTTTTGAAGTTCGAAACACAAAACAAGTAGAACTAGAAAATGACAGAAAACACATTTAGCTTATTACAAAGCCTGCTTTTCTTTTTTATAATAGTTTCTAACCCTATAGTGGTTGTAGTTCTTCAAAACACACAGCTCCAGATTCCACTTGAGGGCATACATCCCATGCAAACAAGATTGGATTCTTTTGAACAACAGGGTCCAGTGGGGTTATGTTTGACCTCTGCCTGGCCTCGTTTGCCATTGTAGTGTATGGAGGGTGTAGAAATCTTAATTTCTGCTCTTTAGTGGGGGTTTTTTGGTGCTTTTATCTATAGAGAAGTTGGGTGAGCCAGGTCCAACTAACGTGATACCTCTTCTAGGCATGTGCTGGGCTTGGTGTGAAAGCGTGCTAAGTTTAATGTAAAGTGCTGTTTTTTTGTTTTGTTTTAACACCTGCAAGCAGCCCTGGTGCCTTAAGTTAGCTTCTGCTCAGCTACTTGGACAACTGATTGCATGACTGTAAACATTAGGCCTGTGCGAAGCAGCAAGTATTTACTTAGGATTCAGATTTGGCCGATTCGAAGGGACAGTGATTTGATTAGGAAATTCAAATCACCGTTCTGATTCGATTCAGCCGAATCGGATCCAAAGATTCAGCACTGCTTCAGAGATCCGGCTGTAGACTAAATAGGCAACAGTCCTCACCACGCTGGACACAGTTGCCTCCAGCTAGTAAGTCTGTTGTGGTGGGCAGAGGGGGGAGGCAAGCAGGGGCATGGGGGAGGAAGAAACTGGGGCTGGGACAAGCTGCCCAGCTGGGGTGGGGAGTACAGGATGCAGGCACATCAGGGCTGGCAGTGGAGGCAACGCCCTGCTGCCGCTTGCCCCCTTCCATCCAGAGTGAGCTATGCCTGCATTGCTCTGACCCCCTTGGCTGGGCAAGCAGCAGCAGGGCATAGCCCCCGCTCCCAATGCTGCCGTGCCTGCATCCTGCATTCCTCCCCCCCCGCCCGAGTCCTGTGGCCCCTCGCTCCAGCTGGGCAGCTTTGTCTCAGCCCCAGGCAACCCCAATCCCTCCCTCCCACATGCCCCTTACCTCCCCCCTCTGCCCACAACAGACTTACCAGCTGGAGGCAGCTATGTCCAGTGTGGCAAAGACTGCTGTCCATTTAGTTTATGGCCAAATCTCCAAAACAGCGTCAAATCTTTTCCAAATCAATTCAGAGCCTGCCAATTCGATTCGGACCTTTTAATTGGTCTTCCAATTCATTTTGGATTCAGAGATTTGGCCACTGAATTGGGCCAAATCTCCTTCAAATCAAATCGGCTACCGAAGCTTTGCACAGCCCTAGTGAACATCCAACTTGAAAACTCTTTGCAGAAAACAACAAAAGGTGAACTCTATGTGCCACTTTGCATACAGGAGGACATTGCTGGAGAGGCCAGAAAGATCACTTGTCTTGGGCACATGTGGGAATAGATACATTCCTTTACTAGAGCATAACCAGACTTAACACAATCCAAAATCCATTTAAGACTCCAGTACCATTTACCCTTTAACCTTCTCAGCAAACACTACAATCAGTATATCAGAGAATGGCTAGCAAGAATCATATGAGACTCCAGTACCATTTACCCTTTAACTGTCTCAGCAAACACTACAATCAGTACATCAGAGACTGTCTCACTCGGTCTTCAGCATCCAACATATGAGGATTTTGTTGACTTGAGAAGGGACAGGGTTTCAGGAACATATTGGCTAACATGGAAGTCGGACAACTACCAGGATTTACCCAGAGTTTCTGTTCCTGTGGTGTTATAAAGCGACCTGCTATTACATATTATATCATTTTCCTCAAGGGTACTGATTCCTGCCAAAGGGTTGAAGATCTGATGCCCACTTGTCAGTTGATGTAATTCTCTGTTGTGGAACTGCCCACAAACACAGGATTTTGACAGACTTTCACGGACAGAAAAGCCTTTCAAATGAATCCAATAGCCAAGTTCCTGAGTTCCCAAACATGAATAGAAGCAGCTCTACCAATGGTCCTCATTTGCAGCAATAATGAAAGGATATGCCTTTTCAGACTTGTGTTATATCAGTCTACCAGTCTGAAGATGCTATGTCCGTTTGATAGATAAACGTATTTCAGTCACCTCTGTAAGGACCACAGAGGACTCTGGCATGCTAACAAATACAGCACAATGTTTCCTAGTAGCTTACGGCAAGCATTTGCATGTTTGAGTTTGGATCAAAGCTAGACAGATAACCTAGTAGGGTTTACCTAAAGCTCCAAATTGTGGATGATCAAAAGTTTGGTAGAACGTGCCAAATTTGATGGAAACAGCCTTTCCACCCAGGAGCTCCAAGGATCAATTCTGCATGTAAAAATGAGGTTGCCTCTGCCTGTGCTGCTGTAACTATTTGGGAAGCTGCCTTTTAAAGAACAGAATGTAGAACCCCAGAAAATTTAGTATGGCAAGCAAAACATTACTGAAGGGTTCACTGCTCGGAAAGGAAAGGAAAGACACTGTTTATGATCCGGATCTTACAAAGGAGTCTCAGTATTTTTTAAACAGGCAGACCTACTTCATAGACCAGGGGTTCCCAAACTTTTCATGCCGCGGTCCAACAAAGTGCAGACTAGCAGTCACAGTTAACTGCAGCCAGAATTTCCAGCTGGAGGACAGGTAAGGATACCCCCACCTCCCAGGCCCACCTCTGGGAGGTCGCAGCGATTTGCTGGTTTCTGGTCAGGCAGCCGACCTGCCGTGGCCCAGGACCGGGCTGCAGTGCAGGGATTGAGAACCCCTGCCATAGACCATATAGATGTCTGATCAAATGAATCAAGAGTTGTTTGAAATACAATAAGAAATCAAACTAGCTGTTATAAGGCTGAGCTATTGAGCGAAGCTTTGCAATGACTTCCCAGAGCCGCTCAAAATAAAAGACAAACCCAATACCAGGCCAAGCATTTTTCAGCTGTCAGACTCAGGCAATGGTTTTGACTGAGGCTTTCTATATCAAAGGTAGGCAACCTTTTCCAGTTATGGGCCAGAATGAGCTAATCCAGGTCAGAGATGGGAGGGCACTAAAACCCAATTGCTGCTGTCATGGGTCCTCTCCACAGTGGAACGGTAACAGCTTCTACAGCTGAAGTCCCCCACCTACCAAATACCAAAGCTCCACATCTGCAGGCTGAATACAGGTTTCCAACCTATTCTATATGGTCCTAGTACTGAGCATTTTGCCCATGTCAAAGATGGATTGCGCTTGGCAAACCTCCTTATTTTAGGCTGGTACTTACAGCTACTTCCAAACTTTAGTGCTGAATCTTTAAATAGAGATCTCAATTGTCAAAGGCTGTTTTGGAGAGGTTCTCCATCTCTATTTCTTGAAGCGGGATTGGTCCTGTGCTCCTTGTTCCTCTTACCCAATATATGACTGAGTGCGGACAGTAAGATGAGTTTGCACTCAGTGTTACAAAATCTCAGTGTAGTATCAGTTTACATCTGTACTTCACACTGTGCTATTATGGAAAACAGAGTGCATAGGGGACAGGTGTTGCTCCAATGAACAACCGCTATTCAGAAGAATGTAATTTTCCATGTGCACTTAAGAGCGGAATCAGAGTGGAACCACTTAAAGAAAATATTTTACCCACATATCTATATAAATTTAATACCCTCTTCAATTAAAATCTGGGAAAGTTCTCAATCTAAATCATAGAGTCTTCCAATAAAAACAGGAGGTAACGTCTTATTTTTCTAGGATAAACCAAACAAGCAAAAATTTAAGATGATTTGTCTGCACAAGGAAAACTGTATAAAAACTCATTTTTCCTTTCATATATCTCTAGCCACAAAGTCTCTACATATATATAAGACTTAAAAAAAACTACATGTGACTGGTATGAAAGATGCAACAATCCTAAATTCTCCAGATTATGGAGGTAAAAAAAATGATATGCAAAGGCTTCATATTATTTTAAGCTCATTTTAGCAGATTGGATCTTCCAAGAGTTGGCACAATCCATTTGTGGCATAGCCTAAGCATGAAGAGGAATAAAGGAAAGCCAGCTAGCTTTGGAAACAATGAACTTCAAAACTATTAATCCAGAATCCTGTAAAGAAAAGGGCTGACCAGATCTTAGTCGTAGACAATCTAGCTGTAGCAAGTTAATTGGCTGGAAGTAAGGGATGGAGGGCACAGGTCTTACTGCAGATCAGTTGATCCATGGCAAGCTGATGGTCAGACGCCCACCCCTGCTCCATGGGAAATGGGGGGGGGGGGGGGGGGGGGGGAGAACACATGACACCAGGGGGCGGGAAAGAGGTAATTATTGAACATGTTTCTGGCTTGCCTGATAATCTAGTAACAATACAATCAATTGCTATACTAGGGAATGGATTAAAATCCCAAAGTCCAAACTACTGCTTCTCCCTTGAGTCAAGATACTCAATCCAAGAAACTGCTATAGTAGAGGTATTGAAGAAATGTCTGAAACATCTTACATGACCCAGCTCTACTTCATGACTCATGACTGGAATACTACTATCCACTTTTAACAGTTAAACATTTCTTCAGGTCCTCTGATTGTAAGTAATTGGATATTGATGATAGTCAGAAAATAAACACTTATAAAGACAGTGAGAAAAAGATAACTGCATGAAGAACAAGTAATTTAGCTTATGGATATCAACAAACACACTGGATAAAGCAAAGTGCCTAATAAAGTTTGTCCAGGTTCTTAACCTACACTGTATTTCAAGTTCTAATAACACTTCCTCAGAGCAACAACTTCACAGAGATATAACATTTGTTATATTATTCTTTCTGTTACTACAGGCAGCTTTTAAGACAGAACATGATCAATAGTAAAGAGTTCAGAGGGCTTGCTCAGTGTGGCCAACTTCAGGGCCCTGTGGTTTGGAATGTGGCAAAAATGCAGACATGACAGATTTTATGCATGTTACCATCAAGCCATTTTCACTATTTTATATAAAGATTCTGTGGCGAGACTCAGAGAAACATATGAATGACAACACCACAGAAGTCTGGGGAAAAACTGACTTTACATCACCTTTTCATCTCTTGGATTCTGGACTATTTGGGAGCCTGAAGTGAATGCATCCAGCACTATAGGATTAGAGGATTTAATCATGTTAGCCTTCTTATAAAGTAATTAGGCAAGGGATCACAATAACAATGAAAACTAGCTTATTATACACAGTAGAAAAACAAGCAATTATAACTCAGTGGATGGAGGTATTCTGGACAGAGAACTAAGCAGCCAATGTGGTCTGGATTTTCTTCAGAGAAAAAATATGAAACTGCATGATGTCAAATCACCTTTTTCACTGGCTATATAACTGGGTGATATTTTGAAACCTTGTGCTTTTTAAATAATTTTTTAAGAATAAAAAGTCATATACTTTTACTCACAATACCAGCACAAATAGAACCCATGCAACTTACGCCAACTAGGCTCTCTGCATGTACAACAAAGGCTATTTACATTTTGGAAGCTTTCATTAACTGTCTTATGTTTCTTGTTACTTATTCCCTTTATCCCCTGTAACACAATACACACAACACACACAGGCCAATCAGCATTACCAAGCTTGACGCAGCTCCTTAAGTGCAGGCTATTTGTAGGTGAAAGTATATATTTCTACAATAGAACTTCCTCCTTATACTTAGAGCAGTCCTCCACTGGAACATCTGGCTATTCTTGAAGGCTTCATCTCAAATTTCCCCATTTCCTGACTTCCTGCAATCAATCCTGGCTGGAGAAAAAACATCTCTTGCTCCATATGAGTTTATGAAATCTATATACAACTACCAGAAATCTTTCAGGACTTCATGCTGGTCAGTAAAGTGATCATTCCCTTAAGTCTTGAAACCACTCCTCCCTACCAATACCCTGAAAGTTGACCCAGGTTGGCACTGCTCTTTCATGCCAGGCAAGTTCCCTTTTCTACCAGCTTAGAGGTCATTGAAAAGAAACTCCAAAGTACACAAATGAGGAAAAAAAAGTGAATACTGACCTATCGTATCTACTATTCCGAAATAAAACACTCTGAAGATATAAGACCTCTGGTCTCCAGCAAATAAACCAACTTGGATACAAAGAACTGACATAATGTACAACAGACAGACAGAAATAAGTATTTTAAGAGCTCTAAAGAACCTTTAAATATTAAGTTGAACCTTAGAATTAACAAGGCAAGCATTTAAAAATAATAAAACACAAACAAATAAAAAACACTTGTTTATAATTTAAAAACATTAAACACTTGAATTTTTTTTTTTTTTTTACATAAAGTGACTTTACACTCAGAGTACACCCAAATAATGACTTAGTGATCTAACTAAACCTGTGGTTAAGATTATTTGAGACAATCCAAGGGACAGAAACCACAGATTCACAATCAGCATTTCAGAATACTCACAGTAGTCCTACAGCTACAGGAACAGGAGTGTCAAATGTACTAGATGGTAGCAAGTCAACAAAAGTTCCTTTAAAAGATTGAAAATATTGCTTCCTATAGGCAAGTCTAAAGCTCTGGCTTGAGCCAATTGAACACAGATCTAGGGTTTTGATGTACACAACTTTACATATGCAATATTAACATCATGAAACTTTTACACAGTATTGCTACCTTCAGAAAAGCCAAAGTCAAGGATGCTTGGAAAAGAGAACTATCAACTGAATGGAATGTTCCTAAGGACATTAGGTAAGTCTAAAAAAATATCTTACTCACTGCATCTAGCTGAAAAGTTATCTTGAATGACATTTTTCCAGAAATACTTCAATGCAGGCTACTATCTGAAAAGTCTGTATGCCTCTAAACAAGATAACAACAATAATAAGAAACACACGTTTAGTAAATGTATTTTATAAGTATTTGTCAAAACAGCTGGATAAGACATGTTGTCAGGTGGAAAAGTAATTTATATTTGAAAAGTATACACAAAGTTATATATTTAAAAAGAAATGTCATTAAGAACAATTTGCAATGTGGAAAAATAGCAATGAAGGAAAGCATTTCTGCTTTTCTCTGCTCTCTCTTTAAAATAAGAACGAACACGAGCCTTCCCTCAAAAACTTACTGAAACAACTTTTCTGTGTACCACATGATCAAATTCTGTCAACCACTGGAGGAACAAAGGGCCTGTCACAGAAAACACTACGTCACATTACTCCTACTCAAGTTGTGGGTCCTTTAGCCAAGCACTTCAAATACAACAGCATAAGAGGAAGAGAGGTAGAGCTTTACAGTTCAAAAATCGAATATGTCGTAATGAATTATGTAAATAACCATAAAAATGGTTGTAATTTTTGTACTATTTTCTACTACTATTTCTGTACTACGTACAACTGAAGCACTCTTCAATAGTGAGCTTATGCAGGAAACGCTAATGTAAGCTAGTTACCAGACATGTCTACATCTCTAAAGAAAAGCAAACACCTAAAAAGAAAACAAAACAAAACAGATCTCCTAACCAAACATGGATGGAAACCACAAGAGAAGCCCAATTTGTTCTTATACATAAGTGAAATGACACTTATTCCCCTCACTATCACAAGTACTTGATATTATAAAAACACTGCTTATGGCTTCATATAAAGCAGAATTTAAATTTTGCAAAGCTTTAACCTCTTAGTTGGTAATGAATACACTACCACTTGAAGCACATAATAAACATGTTTAAAAAATTTTGGTTTCACTTTTTGCAATGTAAATACTTAGATTTAGAGATAAATGTAAATAAATGGATTTCTAAATAAAAGCTCTCATTTGAGGGCAAAATATATAAATAAATAAAATGATGATACATGATTTTTCCTAGTACTTGGAGTACACATGTTTAAAAAACTAGTGTATTTGCAACTGTTTTCATTAAACTTGTCTGCTGCCAACCAGATTTGCCTTTGCAAGTTCAAGGTCACAAAACTGTGTGGTCTGGGTACTGACACATCACCATGCCCATCTACAAATCTGAACTAAAACTTTTTCATCGAGTCAAAACACAAAACTGATCATAACCTTTAAGACAAAGGCTGGTACTAAACAAATCTCTTACAAGATAACGCCACTGACCATTTTATGTTTGAACTACATGAACATACCTATAAAATGTAAAACCAGGTAATAAACCATTAAAACCTACAAAGACAAATTTTCATTTTTATCATAGTTTACGGGGGAATTTTACAAACAGAAATATAGTTTTAACTTATATTTTTACTAAACTTACCATAGTTTTTTCTACAATTGAAGACATTCTTGAATGTCTTGCATCTAACAAGGGAAAGGTATTAAAGTTATATTTTTTAGTGTACTAGAAATATTCCCATAAAAACTCTTAGGTAAGGCATGGTGCTACAGCATCACCTAAGATAAGTTTTAAGAAGTAAAAACTCAAAAAAAAAAAAAAAAATATCTGGTAAACTCCCTGACATGAGCATTTGACCATAAACAACATAACAAACAAACAAATTAACAAAACAAAAAAACCCAAAAAGACACGACCACGCAGTTCGCCATGGTTGACAGTCTGCACAAAACACCTGAACAAAACACCAGACAGTATCTGTAGATCTGCCTCCAGACTGGTTCTATGCAGAAGGCCTGTGGTAGCTTCTTGCTATACTGAGACTCAGTCCCTATTTGCATGAATACCATGTTAACAAGTAATATTAAAGTAATATCAGATCAAACTAGCACCTCAGAGTTAATCCTGCCCTCAGATACACTCAATAAAAAGTTTTAAAAGATGCAATTTAACCAATGTCTGCAACCAAGACTGGACCTGAATGTTTGCAAGACAGAATTCTAAATATAATAAAATGATAGTGGGGATGATACAAGTCTCCTCTTTCTTCTTCCCCTTCAATCAAGGATCACCCAATTTTAAAATTTCCCCTTCCTGTTCAGTAACAACTTCTTTTCAGGTACAGTCAGTCAGACATGGATCTTGCCACAGCATCCCTGGCAGCTACAAACCTGGAACTTTTGATTTCTTCTACTTAGCTACTGCTAAATCAATGGGATTAGCCATACTCCTTTGAAAAAGTTGTCACATGATAAAAATATCGGATGCTCAATATCATCCCAAGACCATGTCATTATTTCATTACATCAATCTTCCTTTTTCTATACTTCCTACTCCACTATTCTCTACAACAGCATAAATGTTCTGAGTTAACTTAAAACTACTTGCAACTTTACTTTATACTTTGCATTTCAAACTTTTTTTACCCTATAAACCCCCTTTAAGTGTATAAGTGTAAGCCCTTCATAAAAATAAATCTCAAGATTCAAAACACTATTTACCATTTCTCTTTTGGAAAGTTCTTTATAATTTCACTAATGATTGGCTGGTAACAGGAATCTCTCTCGGGTTTCCCCTCTTCACTCCAGTCTCTTACAAACTGTTTCAAAGTAGATTTTAATTTATCCATGTCAAATGTTGAAGCTGGCATAATCTTCCCATTTCCCTGCTTAAAGTGTAAAGAAAAGTTAGCAAAAAAACCCCCAAAAAACCCAAACACAGTTCTGAATTTTAACGCAGACATGCTATAAGGGCTATATGGGTGGTTTAGTTGATAAAGCACTCGCCTTCTCACCTCTGGGACCAGGGCTCAAGTCCAGGTTAGAGTCCTAAATGAAATGAGTTTGGTGGTCTCAGCTCAGCCCTCAATAGACCAGGGTCCACATCAGAAAACCAACAAATTATATGGCTTAATTGAGCACAATTGTAGTCCTTATTCAGGAAAGGACCAGGGCTTAGCTAGGATGGAGACTGAACAACCTCTGAGAGGGATCTCCCTCCAGGTCATTGATGAGGCAGCATGGAGAAGCTCACACTGGAGCTGCCCAGAACTGTACCTAGCCTGTGGATACAAAAAAAGAGGACTTCAGTTTCCATCATTGCCAGTCCCTTAATCTCCATAAGTGCAAAACTTCATTTTTTTAAGTTAAAAAAAAATATGCCACACTGAAAAATGTTTATCAAATAGTGGGGAAATTACACTGAATTTTACAGAATAACAATGCCCAAAATAGTTAACATCTAAAATTCTGAGATTTAGAATTTTATAAATGAAAATGGTACAGAAAGCATTGTTTATGTTCAATGCAGCCAATTAAAAATCTACTTAAAAAAAACAAAAACAAACTTACAAAGGAATTAGAACTCCACCAAAGTTCTATTACACTGGTGTGCTATACAAACAATTACTGACACTTGCCATAGCAGACTCACAGACAGTTCTCGAGTGATTATTTAAACTGCTGGACAAAATAATACAAGATTTCTTTATTTGGAAAAAAAAAAAAGTGCTAGTCATTGATTAATCCTGCAACACATGCAAATGTTGTGGGAGAGATGTAAGCAAATAGGAAAATAAAAATTTTAAAAAATGGGTTGACAGAAAAGAAAAATTAAAACCACCAGGTGAAAACAGTAAAGGTTAAAAAGAAAAACCCAAACAAACATTTTTCCTTTTGAAATATGAAATACAAAAATAAAATCTTAACATACATCTTCTGCATACTCTCTATTTTCAAACATATGTGGGCAGTCATTCACAATAGTCTGTAGTATCTCCTGATTATGATCAATGCATGTCCGAATCTTGTCCAAGTGAAGAAGAAATTGAGGAAGTAGGTTCTGCTGGTTGGCTGGGAGGGATCTAAACTGTCTCTCTGTTCTGTTCACTCGCTCATGCATATTAGTTCTAGAAAATAAGAGAGTTAAAGTTGTCAGCATGAACTAAAAATGCAGAGAATGCATACTTAAATATGATGATCACATAAAATTGCATATGATCGCATATGATGATCTTGAAAAATGCAGAGAACGCATACTTAAATATAGTATGATGATCAAATGCTGTACCTTAATCTGCCTTTTTTTTTTAATTTCATACTCCAATCAAGATCAGAAACAATTCCACAACATTTTTACAGACTACCTGGTGATTTTAGACTGCTACATGCATAGCTAAAATCCCCAGGTTTATGCACAACCAATCGGGGTGCTGGTTTACAGAGAGATCTATGTTTTAAAATCTCTTTTCTTGATTTTGGAATACACACAATTGGGAAATAGTGCACAATTGTGCACAGAAAAAATAAGGAGCACATTATTATGAACTATGATATACAAGACAACTTTTTAATAAAATGGTTACTATCACAAGACCCATTTGCATTCATGCCACCATAATCCCACAAAACTTTTAAGCATGCTTAACTTTTCACAGGATGAAAAATCCAAAGACATGAACACTACTCAAAAATGCATGAATGTAGATCTTTATAGTGTGGCTCTTAGCTGTTAAATATGAATTAAGCCTGTGCTAATAAATACTCACACCATAAATGTGTAAGGTAACATGGCTTTGTTCTTATATTTTCAAAGCATGACATTTTAAGGACGTTTTACAGAGCCTTCTAGTTTGCAGCATTTCATTCTACTGATCTGCGGAATAATTTCACTCAGAGCATGGCTGTTAAGATCCTCTTATTTCCTAATTTTGTATTTGTGCAGCCAGAGTTCCAGAGAGACCCTTTGATGCCAGCCACCACCTCCCTACAGTTTAGACATAGATACCGCATTATTGACACTAATTTTTCAACTGGTGATATTTCAACTGAATGACACAAAAGGAATGCCAAAGATGCTGGGAACACCCTGCATCACATGGTAGGGTTTCCCATACATGTCACAGGTGCCCATATCAAGGCCCAATATTTTATTCCAGCCTTCAAAAAGTTAAAACTGTCAGCAAACAATAGAGAAGAGGTCAAAACCTCCATTCCAGCCTAAAGGTCCCATACATGTTTGCCTTCCATTATCAAGACAAAGCCACTGCAGCATAGCGGGTCTGGGGAATTACTTCAGTGGATCGGGTTTAAAACACACAAACCCCCAAAACAAACATCCAAAAACCCCCACTTGCTCTGTAGGGTGACAACATCTTAAATTAGCTTTATGAGCCTGGAGCAACCGAAGGTCTGGCAGTTGCAACAAAAAGGGCACAGACACAGAAACGAATCTGCTGCACCTCCAAAGCCTGTTCTTTAGGGCTGAAACGGATTTCTCCATTCTACACAAAAAAGAAAGAACTTCGTTTCAGGGGTGGGTTTTTTCCCCTTGTTCACTCCTCTGGAAAGGCCATACAGTGGTTCCCAAACTGTGGGTCCCAACCCCAGATGGGGTGGCAGGGGAGCTGTGGGTTGGGAGCAAGGGAATAGGGTCATATATGAGGTCGCTCTGAGGAAAACGTTTGGGAAGCGCTGCCTTAGCTACTGGATTTACTCCAATCCAAGACGAAAACCCCCATCTTCAACACAGGGAAATAAAAGCCTCGGCTTGGATCTGAGCAGCTCTGGCACCAACCCAGAGGCAGCAGCAACAGGGGTGGCTTCAGGTCGTCAGGTTGGGGATGAAGTGAGCAGGCTGCTGCAGCCCCCCACTGTTGCCCGGGCTGGACCCAGCATGTGGACGAGCAGCAGGGAGGGGTGAGGGAGCCAGAGCTCAGGGTTGGGCAGCCCCGGGGAGGGTCAGTGGCGCAGGCGCCGTCGGAACCCCGGGGGATTGTCAGAGGAGAGGGCGCCAAGCGGCGTGGGCCCAGTGAGTACCCGTAGTAGCGGAAGGCGTTGATGATCCTCCGGAAGTGCTCCCGTTCCAGCCGCTCCTCCTCCGCTTCCAGCTCGGCCCCCGGCGCGCGCGGCTCCCGCCGCCC